CTTTGTTCTAAAAGGTAGCTGGAGAGATGCTGCACCATAAGAGCTGATGCCTTGCTCTTGGCAGCTGCTTCTGAATCTGTCAACTTAACAAGCTGCCAAGAAGCATCAAACCCCTGCCCATGCACTGAGATCCTGTTCCCTGGAGGAAGTCATGCACCCTCTAGACACAAAGCCTTCCTAAGTCACTGGACACCTGGAAGCAGCAGCATCCTGGTACAGGGAGAAGAGGCCAAGCATCTGTTGAGAAGCCTCTTGGGACCTTTGGCCACCAAGATCAGGGAGCCCATGCCTCCCTCTCTGGGGAGCCTCTGGGCAAGGAGAGTGGGCAGGGAGCATCAGGGTCTGAGGGCCACCATCCCGGGGCTCTGCTGGTCATCAAATTTAACCTTGAGGCCTGAGCACAGTGGGTCAGGAAGATGGTCAAGGTTCAAAGTGGCAGTAACTATGTGCTTCAGAGCACAAGGACACCACCTGCAGTGCCCCAGCTGCCCTGTTACTTTCTTTGATTATCCACCCTCATCTTTCAGCCTCATCTCACTTCCAGGAAAAAGGCTACATAGAATGCAGAAAGGATGCTCTCCTCATTTGAAACATTCCTGGTTCCCAATTTAAAGGCAGATCAGAGCAGCCTTCACGATGTCACGCACTTGGTTTTAAAAGGAAAGGCTCTTTAGTTTCTCTCAGCAATTGCTCAACAAAGAACAAGAGAAAGACTGAGACAGAACACGTCAGTCCTCTCTTCCTCACAGGCCCCTTTCAGGAGGCTCGAGATTGCTCTATGAACTACAACCTTTGAGATGCCTCTGTACACCAAGGAGCCATAAATCATGCCGTGGGCGGCACACAGGATGTAGGGATACCAAGCCGTGTGCATGCATAAGGCAGGCGGAACAGGAAGGAGGAAATGCTCTTGAAGAGAGAAAGGGGAGGGAGGCTAGTACACAGGGTTCCTCTTCCAGGGCATCTTTCTGTTGCATTTCCCTACTCTCTCCTCTCTTAGCTGGACCACATCTGCCCTGAGACATTTTTATCCAAGTCGCTGAGGTACATAAGCAGGTGCAAGGAGGGGTGCACGGTCAGGCCTCCTGGGGTAAGGAGACACAGTATAGAGGGCAGCATCTGGCTGGTAATTCCCTGAAGCCTGCAGTGCTGTATTCCTTGTCCAGATGGCCAGACATCATCACTAGTGGCTCCCAGTACAAAAAAGGGGAAGGAGAGGAAATGGGGTTTAAGTGACAGTGGGGTGGCTCTAGGAGACCTTGGGAGACTTCCTATTGAAACATAAAGGATGGAGGCTTCTGGAAGGACAGGGATTCAAGCTTTTCCTCTAATCCCTTAAAGCAAGCCCAAGCACCAGAGACAGTCATATGGCCCCTGTTCAGGAGGAACCTCAGGCTATTCATCACTTAGCCCTGGAAAGTGCTGCCAGCCAGAGACTGCCTAAAATCTGCTCCGGGATCTAGGGAAAATAATCCTGCTGGGCCCCTGGTCCTCCCCTTGGCATTGTCAAGGTCAAATCCATCCTCTTCTATAAGTTTCTTCCCCAGCTCCCCCTTCACTTTAGTCAAGCTGACTCCATATTTTGAATTGAAAGTCATTCATTCTGGACAGAGGTCCATTTTTTATATGAGGACAGAATAACCAGCTGGCTTATTTATTTAGACCCAGGGAGGAAAACCTGCAAATGATATGAAAGGAAGAATAAGGAGTATTTCTTTGGGGCTGAGAGAAAGTCAATTTAAGAGGCAGAAAAGATACAGTCTCATTAACCTGGTGGTCTTTGAACCACATGTTGCTAGACAGAGAAGGACCTAGAAGAGCTGCCATGCCAGGAAAAGCATCTGACAAGACCCATCATCTCTGGTTTCTTGGGCCCCTGTGTCACCTAGCTGGATGGTAGAGACACTGCTAAGGTCTCAGACTGGACAGTCTTACAGAAAGAAAGCTGCACAGAATGGGTCTTCATCCTTATGGGTGTAAGTTCTGGGAAGCCAAGAGCCAAGGGCTCAAAGCCCAATCCTTAGCCTAATTTCCTTGGCTCCTGGCTTTTTTTCTTCCAACCCAGCCCTTCCTAGGCAAAGGACAGTGGAAGTCAAGGAGGAAGAAATAGGTCCTGGAAACAGGTCTCAGAGTAACTGGGACAAAGACTGAGCTTATGATCTTAGACATAGGAGGTTGAGAAAGGACACAAAGTATTCATAGGAAATAATATATACTATTAATAGCTATCATTCATCTAGTTTTTTTTTAGTATTTTATTATTGATAAAATTTTTTATAAGTTTTAACTTATGTGCTCTTCATGACAACCTTGGGAAAGCACTACAATCCAATTTTATATAGTAGGAAATTGAACCAGTGATGTTCCATAGTAGTAGAATTACAGGTGGAATCAGGATTGTGACATTTTCCCCCTCACCCTAGACCTTCATAGGGCTGCGCACCTTCTGGGCCTTAATATTCTTATGAGTGGAGAGTAGTGGTAGAACATGTTGACGTGATGGCACCAGAAGCTTTTGCTTCCTAAGGCCCCTGCCTGTACTGCTAAGGTGGCCCCAAAGGCAGTGCGGAAGAAAGTAATATCAACAAGTTAAAACTGGGGAAACCTGACACCTGCCCCTTCTCTTCTTTGTCCACCCAGTTGAATGAGTCTATCTGGGTAGACCTTTGCAAAACTTTAGCATCTAGCAGAGGTCACTCTGAGTAGACTCTCAGGGAAAGAAGGTCAGCAGAATGCTCAGGTTGTTTGTAAAAACATTGAAAACTATATGTTTACTTGTTACCCAGATGTTCTGAAGCATTAAAGGTCCCCTGTCCCTCAGGGCCATTCAGATCTCTTGAATTTTTTTTTTTCTTTTTTGGTGGTTCTGGGGTTTGAACTCAGGGCCTATGAGCTTCAGATCTCTTGGTAGGTAAGATGCTCACACATTCTCAGTGAGGAATAAACTCAACCAGGCACAGCCAAGGTTAGCAAGGGCTCTTTCCTGATCAGTTAAGATTGACCATGACATTTCTCGCATGACGCCCGTTTGTGCATGCCTCTTTAATCTGTCTCCATCAGTTTCCCCCACAGCTCATCAGACCTAGTTACCATACCCACAGGCCAGCTGGAAAAACCCTCAGCCCTTCTGCCTGTCTGAATCACACACATCCTTCAACTCCCAGCTCAGTGGCTGCCTCCTCCGTGAGCTATTCTGATTTTCTATGTATCTCCTCCTTTGCGCTCATTGCTGTTTAATTTATGAGCCTTCCCCACAGTTCTCCTTTAATTCTACTCATGCTAATTAATTGTGGGCATAGTTCATTTTTCCCCTAATAGATTATAAACTCCTTAGAGACAGACGCTATATTGAATTCATTTCTGTGATTCCCCCTGCCCCTCACTCCTTTCATGTCTGGCTGAGATTTTAGTTTTAAACTTAGTAGGAGTATAATAAATAATTTTTAAAATGGGATTTCCCTTGGTGTCAAAGAATCTGCACACAGGACAGTCCCACTTCTCATTCCATCCCTTGGCAAAACTTAGGGAACATGGTACCCCTGTTCCTCCCCCTGTATCCTAAGGGTCACCACTGCCAAATCCAGCCAGCATAGAGATATAAAGAAGGTAAAATCAGACTGATAAAGCCAAAGGTTTCACTTTAGCTTGGTTATTCAAAAAGGTTAAAATTACATAGGAAAAAGCAAGGAGATACAACTACTACATGTCCCCAAGGAAAACCAAGGAAGGGGTTTTTGAGGTCAGGGAAGGTGATGCAGAGATGACTGAAGAAGAAAGGGAGTTTCCTGTAATGATTAGGACATGGAGGGTGATGGCTGAAACAGGAGTGGATTCCCTATCATGACAAAGGAGATAAGATGCTACATTCCCTTATGGAATAAGAATCCCGGATACTCCTGAGTGAAAGATCACTGTGGTTTCAGAAGGACCCAGGGCTGTGCTCATGCCTCAAGGTCAGCCAGCAAACATGGTATCTGGGCATGAGCTGGAGGGAGGGAAGGAGGAAGTAGATCACCATGAACTTAAAGCAGGACCCTAAGAGACAGTGGAAGAATCACTCCAGAAAGTATTAATGGGAAAGGTGATTTTCTTATGAGGCAGAAGATAAGAACAATCAGTGATGAGATTCAGGTCCAATCGGGGTTGATGACAGATAGATCAGATGAAGGAGCCTCACCCTGAACTTTGCTCCTCCTCCTCCATATAGTTCAAACTTCATTTATTGGCCAAGGACTTGGAGGGCAGAATATAGTTACCCTGAGTCAAGTTTTAGGGAGACAATAGTCACAGGGTTGGTAGAGGGGGAAAAAAAATCCCAACAATCAGATCTCAGCCAGCAGGGGGAGAAGCTTTTTCTGCTACAGATGTAAGATTCTCTCTCTCTCTCTCTCTCTCTCCATCTATCTCAGTCTCTCTCTCTCTCTCATGCATGCACAGAAAGTGAGCGAGAGAGAGAGAGAGAAAGAAATCTATTATCTACTATGAACATCCTTAGTACAGATCTAATTCCAGCTTAAAGATGAGAGCTTCCATCCAGAAAATCCTCCTTCCTGAGGCAGTATGGAAAGGATGCTATTTGTTCTCAATTTCCTCTTTTCTTTTGGGACCACAGAGAAGACACTGAGAATTCCTCTCTTTAGGTCCAGGCAGGAAACTGAGGTGCAAAGCAGACTCCTGGCACCTGTACTTGGTTGCCAGACACTCCTTTGCCTAGACTTTCTCATACTTCTGACTGGCTGCAGAACACTCTGGACAGACCCCACCTACAACAACCTCAGCACTTCCCTGCCTCTAAGAGGCTCCTGGAAGGAAGTAGGGGATGCTCAGGGAAGGGCTGTTGGAGCCTGTGCTTCCTGGGAGTGGGAAGCAGCCTCTCTGGGCTAGACAAACATGTCTCCATCACTGCCCTGCCAGGGCTCACCCTCTTCACCATAGTGAGGTGAGGCATGAGCTTGGGGATGGTGAACATGCTCCTTTAACCCTGTGGCCCCCAGCAGTACCTGCCAAGGCCTTGATCCGGGACCTCTCAAAGAGCCTGGCTGAGCTGTTGTCATTATCCAGCTCGTCATCTGGGGCATCCCAGCGGGCATTGATCCGACTGTATGGTGGCTGGTTGCCCACGTTTTCAAACTCCGTGGCCGATGTCATGTCAGCAGGCTCTTCTCAGCAGCTCGCCTGCCTCAGTCTTCATGGAAGAGTCCCTAGGGGACAGTGACACAGTCAGAGGGTTAGCTCCCCACCCCCTTGCACTTTTCTTAGGGGAAACTTACTCGGAGCATTTGGCAGGAACGGATCCTGATGGGAGAAGCATGCTGTGTCATCTGTGGGGACATGCTTCCTACCCAGGGTCTCTGGGTCGCGTGTTATAAAATATTGCAGCAGCAGCAGCAACAATAACGGCAGCTGTGGCAGGGACGGAGACCAAGAGCTGCATGCAGCAAGGGTCAGGACGGCCGGCAGGTGGAGACATCAGTTGTAGCAAGCCAGCTTCCTTCCTCTAAACCCTCTACCACTGCCTGGGGAGCAGCGTGAGAGGTAGATCTCTTGCTAGCTAGAGCTGGTGGGGGATGAGTAGGGAAAAGCAGCCCCCATCCTCTGCACTGAGGCTGGGAGCCAGCCTGGTGGAGGAGATGGGGAAAGGCTGGGAGAAGAAAGAAACTGGAAGTTGGCCGATTCTGACTCAAACAGGAATGAAGACTGTGAGCATCAAACTGCAATGAATGCGACCAGCTCTGGGCAGCTGCCCCTGCTGAGCTGGGGAGCTCTTTCCTCACTGAGGCTGCTCAAATACCCTGGGTTCTTTCCTGTAAGCCAATATTTAGAGAGCTGAACTCTTGTTTTTGCGCTCTTTGAAGGGGGACCAGGTGCTGGGACAAGGTCTTCTGTTGAATCCCAGGCAGGCCAAGAAGCTCCTAGGAGCCTACTGTCCTATAAAGACCATCAGCAGGAAGTGTTAAAGTGGATAGTGAGGGCATCCCATGGACAGTGGAGTGCTACAGTAAGGTATCTGTGCAATAAGCATGGGCATCAAGAGTATGTGCTTATTTTTGCTTGCTCATTCATCCATCCATCCATCCATCCATTCATGCTTCTCTCAAATATGTACCACGCCCCAGTGAAGTGCTGACACGGTGCCGGGTACTTCAGAGTAAGACAAGAAGGGCCATATCATTATGGAGCTTATACGTGGCATGGGTGACAGACAAAAAAATGAGCAATTGAACTAAGCTGCACTGTATGCCACACTGGGAGAGAATGGGGTATGATGAGAGCTGGGTGCCAGGGGAAGGGAAGTTTAAGGTGATTGCTAAGTGCTTTCTAAGGAAACTTAGAGATACCTACAAGGGATATGTGGAAAGGGAAACACAGATATTACATGTTCTCCCTCATAAAAGGAATCTAGACCTAAAAACAAAAATGATGCATGTAAAACAGAGGGACTGTTTGGGGGTGGAAATCAGCAGGAAGGGGAAGGGTGAGAGCAGAGGGTTGTGGGGGGGAGGTGAGTGTGATCCTATACATGTATGAAAATGGAATAATGAAACCCATTAAAAATTGTTTAAGCCAGCCATGGTGGCTCATGCCTGTAATCCTAGCTACTTGGGAGGCAGAGATTGAAAGGATGCCAGTTTGAGGCCAGCCTGGGCAAACAGTTTGGAAGGTTCCATCTCAACCATTACAAGCTGGGCATAGTGGTGCATATCTGTCATCCTAGTTACTCAGGAAGCGTAAACAGAAGGATTGCAATCCAGGCCAACCTGGGCATAAAAGCAAGACCCTATTCAAAAAATAACTAAAGCAAAAAGGGCTTGGCCAAGTGATAAAACCCCAAGGCCCTGAGTTCAAACCCCGGTATCTCACACACACACACAAAAAAAATTAAAAGGAAGGGATGGGGTATAAGAAAGAGTAATAGAGGGGATTAACTTGATAAAGTATATTATATGCATGTATGAAAACATCACAACGAAACCCTTATGTATAATTAGTATATGCTAATTTTAAAAGGAAACAAAAAAGAAGATAAAAAGCAGTGTGAAGGTAAGCAAGAATACAGCAAGACTGAGGAAGCTGAAGAATAACTGGAGGGCCAAGGAGGATCTGGGGAGAAAAGTGAGCCATGACTAGCTTTTCTCAACTGTCCCTGCCATTCAGGCATCCCTCTGGGAACTTACAGGATTCCAAAACCAAATTTGTAAAAGAGACAACGGGGGTCCACAGCCTTCACATTTAAGAGAGCAAAAAGGGGCTAGGGGTTGGGGTAGGATGAAAAGCAAATGACAAATGTCAACAAGTAGTGAACCACACACATTACATTCTCTTACACTCACTACTGTACACATTTGGGCTCACATCCAACACATAGACACACACCCAAGTGGGCACACACACAGAGGAAATGAAGCATGCTCACTAGGCAGAGCATAACAGCAGTGCTACTGCCCTTATTTTTCACTCAGTCACTTCAGACTCTTTTCTCCCCACTCTGATGAATCAATCCCACCACATCCCTTTGAGGTAGGGCAGGAGCCAGAATTACCCACCCTCATTGCACAAGGGGGAAAGCCCAGGCTGAACATAGGACGAGGCCTCTCCAAGGTCATCTAGGGAATTACTGCTGTGGCTTAGACCAAAGGCCAAACTGTAGCTCAGTTTATCTCCCTTGACCGGACGGGTTTTAAGGAAGCAAACAGGGAAAGAATATAGCCCATGAGGGCATAAGATATTTCCCACCTGCCAGGACTGGGCAAAGGTGTTTGCCACTCAGGGGAAGGGAAAGTGTAAGGTAGGGAAATCAGTCATCACCCAAACACAGCATGCCTCACCCTCCTAGGCCTGTGCCCAAGACAACCCTTGTCTCTGAACAGCATGTCCTCCTCCATGAATGGATATGATGCTTCCAGGGCTGAGATTTCCCACTCCACTGGGAAAGATTCTCCACTCCCCTCACCTTCCCTGGCTTCCCTTAAAGTGCCACTGGTTCAGAGATCTGAGCCGGAGAGGGACTGCTAGGCTGACCACCTCCTGCAGGGCCACAAGCCTGTCCAGAAGCCCCTGAGAAGGGCCGAGCTGCCAGACACAGGAGGTGAGGTGAGATCAGCCCCTGAACACAGGAGGTAACCAGACCCTGGCTCACTCTCTCCATCCTGGGCTATTTTTAAGAGTGACCGAGAGAGGCCCAGGCTGCAGGGCTCGAGAGTGAGATTACCTTAGCCGTGGCTCCGTAAATAAGTCTGCCCCAGAAAGATGAGCCTGAGCAGGCAGACCAGCAGAACCAGTGTTGAAGGTAAGATTGATGGCCCTGGGTGCAAAAGAGCAGCAACTCGACAGCAATTCATCCTGCTTAAAAACGCCATTCTGCCTATGACCACGGCTCACAGAAGGCAGCAGCCAGGCAGTGGCTCTGCTAGGAACATGAAAGAACATATATGTGTGTCTGAAATACACAAGCCTAGTTTGCTTGTTTGTGAAAGGGCCAGGTCCCTGAAGACAAACACCAAGGAAAGAAGATTCAGATATAAAAAGTAAGGCCTCGTCTTCCTTCCACCCTCACCCTGTCTACTCTAGCCCTGGCCCAGATGGTATTTCATCAGTGTCAAGGGATGGTGGGGTTGGCCAAGGTGTTCAGGTAAGGAAGCTCCCAGAGGATCAGGTGTACAAGGCAGACAGGAAGAAAATAAGAAAGCTGTTTTCTAGATGTATCTGAAATCAAATTCAACCAAGTGCTTTCTCAGTGTCACCCCTGTCTATTTCTATTACTGTCAAAATAGGCTCTTCAAAGGCCTGACAGTAAAGACATCACTGTAACTAAAAAGAATAGCATATGTTGAGGGCTCATGGGTATGTGGGTGGGGAGGAGACACAGAAATGACATTCAAGTTGATATCAGAGGGAAATTTGGAAAAAGAGGATCTGATCATGTTTTCAAGGATATAAAATCATCTGTGAATCTAGAGTGGTCCTCCATGAGTCATGGGGGACAGCAAGTACATGGTATGAGATCTCACACCCCTGTCAGAAACCCCAGGAAAAACAGCATACGAGATAGTTGCTTGTCCGTTCATTTTCCCAATTCATCATCAAGCTCCCAAGAAGTCCTGCCCTTATGCCACCAGACCTCTTGTCAAAGTGTTGGTGAGTATTCCCTGGTCCATGTGACCCCGTGCCAAGGATCAGCCACCTGTCCCATCCATTCACCTGCTTGTCTAGAAGCTGGGCAGTCCTACCTTCAGGGTCACCCTTACCTATGAGCTGCCACCCCTGTTACCAGGTTATAGTCTGATTAGCATGGATTCCTAGAAACTTGTCCCTATATAGCTCAGTACTGAAAAGCTCACCAGAGTACAGAGCATCTGCTTGCCAAGGGAACATCTACTTGGTAAATAGATTTCACAGTATCACTAACACTACTTACAGCCTCAACCTTCACACATGTCCCAGAAACCCATCTGTGTCTAGATTGAGTGTCAGACCTCAGAATCCCAGCCTCATGTGCTATGCCCAGCTCATCACTGGGGCAGCAAGGAACTGAGGAGGTGGCTGAGTTGTGTCTCATGTCAGCCTTCCCATAGTCATGAGCAGAAGGGATGCTCATCTCTTCAATCTCTCGGCCAGACCCCTAGGGCAAAGTAACCATCATCTCCTTCTTCTCTGAGTCCCTTGAAGATGCAAAGCAACAATGTGCAAATCTACTTTAAATGAGAATATATTAGGTGATGTTCCTGTTCCTTAGTGGGCTGAGATGTAGGCTGATGCAGCAGCTTGGACCCTGACTTCTTTAAACAGAATCTAGACTCACACTGTACATTTGTTTCTGTCTAGCTGTATGGTTTGCTCTCACCTGCTTTCTAGTTTGTCCTGCCCTTTTGCTACCCCAAATTTGTTATTATGGCAACCCAGCTGAGGAGATTGCATCCTGAAGTTCCCCTGGTAACTCCTGTTAGTGCATCACCAATGAGGGGACATGTCCCTGTGTTTCCACTGATCGTAACTACATTGTATATTCACAGACACATTAAAGAACAGTCAGACACATAAATATACACTCACATGCATGCACACACTCACCAAAACAGAGTTAAGATGCCATCACAGATGACTTACTCTAAATCTTTCTGTAGTCCTAACCTCCTTCCCACCCCATGCTAGACTTGTCCCTCCCTCCTCAAACCGGCCATCTCCACCTAGAAATTATAGCTCA